GGAGAATATCGAATATATATTCCTGTCTGAATTGGTTTTGACGAGATGGAATGACAAAGGTTCTTGCAATCTAGTCCATATGAATGGATTGAGCAGGTTCTGTTCCAAGGTTCCATTGCAAGTATTGTTGATTAGGTGCAGCAACTAAAAATCTTCTAGTAAAATGCGAACAATCAATTATTTCCAGACCGACATTTGGAATATCAGAGAGCATGTAAAATAAGGCCGAACTCAAAATAGTTTATTACGAAATATGGAATTTGGTAGAAACAATTTTTTGCCGGTAAAAAAATCAATAGAGGGCCTCCTATAGAGCGAAAAAGTTATTCTTGATTCCACGAAAACTGCTCTCTCAGTTAACGGATGCATATCAAAGGCATCAGAATATTCTTCAAAACTGTATCCATGACAAGCAAGTATTCCTTTATTAATCACTGCCGACGAGTTGAATTTTTTTCGATATCTGTGCCTTAGGAATAAATAATCCTTTGGCGTTTTAAACCATTGTATTGTTAAAATTAACTTCACAATAGGAGAATTGGGAATTTAGTAGGTTGTTTACATAAGTTGAGTAAGGTTCGGGTTCCCAATCTGAATCAACCTCTGATTTTGCTTTATATTCCGCTTTTTTTCTCTTGAAAGAGTCAAACAACCTTCCCTTGAACAATTGAAGCCTTAAACTAAGATGGGTATCACGCATATCCAAGTATAGGTTACAATTCCTTTTCAAATTCAATCTCAATAATGATTTCATCTAGAGAAATACTGGGGAATAATTCTTGCGTGTAAGATGAAGTTACTGTTTTAAAAAGTGGGACTTTATCAAAAAATCTCCAAAGAAGATTTTGTTAAAGCACCTTAACAAAAATGGCTACTTTAGTTTGAACTCACTTTAAATTTTCAAAAATGTTTTTGCGAGAGCAACTGTTTTCGACCTATTTTTTCAAGAAACGGGTTAGGTTCTACTAGCTCTACGCTTGGATCTCTTTTTTCACCTCCCTATTGTTTTTGAATTGTTTTTGTCCACTAATTTTTCGCAAATGTGTTAGTTTTTGCGCCCAAATTAATTAGCTCCAAACCTTTTTGCAGCTGGGACTATAAATTTTTTCAACAAAAGGGATTCCAGTTCTCCCAAGAGTTGGCCCAAGAGCACCAAAACCCTTTCCACGTTGCCTTGCATGACCACGAAAAAATGGAAGTCTGCTGAATTTTGAGCAACCATTTTGTATGAATTATAAATCAAAAAAGATTGTTAAAAACCTTGCAAAATAAGAGAACAACTCAAGTAATTCCTACGGAGACAAAAATAATTTTTTCGCCTTTACTATCTCATAGTTCGATCTCGATACTCTGGAAATAATCAAAGTTTAAACTTGTAGGGGACTGATAGCTCATGCACTGTACTGTAGATATTACATCTCCATGTTTTTTATTTTGGAGATGAATGGAATACAACGCAAAAAGGAGTTTTTGTATCACCGACTATGTTATATTCTATTATATTGCTATATATCATCAGAGAATGCATTATGTTAAAGACGTAAGAATATTGAAAATAATGCGGTGCTATTGTAATCATGAAAACCCCGGTTTGATTTTGTTCTAAGTCACAACCAAAAACGGGACTCAAATCAGAATTTTGAATACCCAACACTGATTGATTCTCTTTTGTGTAATTTTATCTACTGGTACAATTTTTCTGTTATATTTAAATGCTTGAGCATCTAGACATTCTGGAGTTTTTTGGTTCATGGCCACAACTATACCAACAATACTTCGATACAATCCTGTTTCAATCATTCTTTTCTCCACAGAACTTTCTCTGCCATCTACGAATCTGTTCAGACATACCCTCTACGAATCTATCCAGACTTATCATCTGTTCAGATTTGAAATGGGATCTAAGTCCTTTTGTTTTTTGCTTTGGTATTCATATTGATAATAGGTTCAAGTGGAATTTGGGTTGCTTCCATAGTGGAAAAGTAAATAACGGGAAAATCAGTATTTTTTGCCTTAGTGGTTTATATTCTTGTGTCTCGATTATCTAACATGATATTGTCTGACTGAGATAATCTAAATCTAGGAGAATTCAAAACTAAATCAATAGGATGCTTGGTGTTGCTTGTTTTCAACCTTGCATTCACAGCAGTGTAAATAGAATCAAAATCTTTCAGTACAATCTCCTCTTTTTCTTGCTTTTGTTCCAATTTTGTTGTTCTTCCGAATCGTATTTTTTGATTGATAAACTGAGTGAAGTATTGGAACAAACTGATCCATATAATGTCAGTTTTCAATGACAAAAGGAGTAATAAGAGATATTAATTGTAAGCCTTCACGCGAGCTTAAAATAGTTCTCCTTTCAAGCAGTGAAGTTCTTCTTCGTGTGAGTTCCGATATTTCTCTTCGATATTTTACTACGTCTACTTTTCGGAGATCCTGTAGCTCGCCTCGTAGCAAATGTACTAGACATTCGCTGAGGAACTGAATTAAGTTTTTTTAAACAATAGAGGATGAATTGTTTTTGAAGTTTAAGAGAAAATGTTTGAAATTTTGAGAGTTTAGAGACGTATTGTATGCTCATAGTCCAAAAGTTTTGTTTTTATTCCTGCAGGTAAAAAGGTTTTGGTGGAGTTGAACCGCTCTCTGTTCAATATTTTAGCATATCAATTTTTTTTGGAGTTAAATAAATGAGTAAAGGACCATAAATAATAGATGTTGCATCTTGATACATTTATTTCAATTGCGATCCTAGACCTAGTTGTTGACTTAATGTATTGCGTTGTAAAACATCTCTCGGTGACTTGAACAAGACTATATGTGCATTTTCTAACTCTACATCTCTTCCCAATTTGCTTGATGAAACAAGTTATGCTTAATTTATATTGTATTCAATCCCCTGTGTAGCAACTTTTACAAACTGCTTACAGTTTGAAATTTCTTCACATGAGTCATTAAATACTACCAGGTATTTTGTTACTTTAATCAGAAGTTTTTCGATTAGTTCAAACTCAACTCCTCGGAAAAATTTATTGTTTTTTTTTTTGCATTTGTCCGTAAGGATGATAATAAAAATAGAAAATTTTGTTAAATTTGGGTTGAAATTTATCAATTTTTCACCAATCAAAAATCAAATGCGATTTTGCAGATCCCGAGGGATCAAATAGCGAACTGAAAACTCCTTCTTTGGTTGAAATTATTTTATTTATTGCTTTTAGGAAGGTAAAGTACAACCAACTGTATATGATAAAATTGCTACCCAAATTGTTGATTCTTTACATGTAGTGGATAACGAACAATTGCACATGCTACTATTAAAATTATGACAAAAAACTGAGGCAGGAAAAGTGACAGAGATCTATTACACATACATCCAAAAACTTCCATGATCTTTGTTCATGATTCTCTTCGTCAAAAACCAAATTTCCCAATTTTAATTGCTTGTCACATTCATTACCCGTCCCGATTTTGGAATGAAAAAATTGATAGTGCTTAATTTTTTTTAAGTTTTCCAAACACAACATAAATCAAGATGATTTATATGATTTACAAATTGTGAAAAAATCCTGTAGTCCATGTTTTGTGAGCAAATGCTTTTTTTTCTGCACAGTGAAGAGCTTTTGAATGTAGCAAATGGGTAGTTTTTAAACCTGCAATCATATTCTTCATCTTTGAAAAAAAAATCTGAAATTTTTGCCATGCGTAGTCATCCAAATTCATAAAAAAATTTTCTAAATTTTTTGACAGAATTTTACTTTTGACAGAATTTTACTTCTCCGTTTCTGGAGGTTTTAGTTGTTCAATATTTTTCCAAGCTCAGTATAATTTTTATTACCACTGCTGCAAGT